GACGACAGCGCGTTGTGCTATATTTTGTCGAGCTTTGCAATTATAGACAGCTAGGCTGGAAAAGAGACGACAGCAGCATAATGTTGGCAATGCCAACGACAGCGCCAATACCAACGACAGCGCCGATACAGCAGACATCGCCGATCGAGAAACAACAGCGCGGTGTGCTTCCTGTTACTATATAGTTTTTTATTTTGAGGTGATTTTCCAAACCCGGCTAGCCACTATATAGTTTTTGAAACTGTTGCGCCACCTGCGACAACGTTCATACAAGCGAAACCGTCTATGCGCAGGCGACAAATTTTAAGCTTCCCTTATTTAGAAAGCCGGGTTTGAAAGTATATAGAATATATATATATGGCCACACTTCTTCGTGTCATTTTTTGAAGCGTTTCTTCGAACGACAGCGTCCACGCAAACGACACTGGTGAGAAACAGGAGACAAGTTTGACTTGAAACGGCGCAACTTTTGCGATAGGTTGTTTAAAGTAACTCTGTTGCAGTTTTGCTTTGCACCTTTTCCACGACCTTAGTCGACCAACAACCTCCTTGGAAAGCAGTGCAAACACAGTATGTGAAATATACATTTGTTACCCTAGCCGTTTTGCGGTTGTTGTATAGCGTACAAGAGCAATCAAGCAGGAGCATGCAACCTAAAGGACCATGAGCCCAATGACGCCAGCTTTGGGACTAGTGCTGGCCTTCGTGAGTCTGTCTACTGACTCTTGCAGTCTAGCCTGTCCACATTCTTGGCCAAGTTTGCGCGTTCTTCTTTACCCAGTCTGGTGTACTTTTTGTAGCTTAGCTGGGTGCCTGTGTATGTCACCATGTCCAACATGGTCTTGAGCCGGGTTGTTTGAAAAACACTGTACTTCGATGGACGGATTGTTTTGGAGGGGTTTGTATGGGGCTGAGAACGGGGTTCATGTATAACTGTATTAGTATTATACAGGACAAACAATTTTGTTACAGGGTTGAGGTGAGGTGCCATGTCAACTTGAACCTCTTTACACGTTTTCATGTCAAGAAGGGTAACGTAGGCACTTCACCCCACTTGTTCTCACGGCAGCTATGCCGGCTGCTTAGCTGCCTGCGTCGCTTTTTCCTGCGCTGCCTTTGCTTGCCGAGTTTTGGCTGCATTCAACCCAGCAGCCACCCCAGCGGTGGTTCTAAGAAGCATTGCGCAAGAAATGCGCCACACCTATGACCCACCGTTGTAAACAACGCTTCTGCATTGTTTTGCCATGACATTTAATTGCAATTCTCTTCAAAGCCCCCAGGAACTTTTCTTCCTCCCAGCAGTGATACATGCGTGGGTTGAGGCGACTAGAGGCAACATCACAAGAGATATGGTAAAGATAGTGATGCTTTGGGCGCATCTTGAATGCCATGATCCCGGTTTGCCAGCGCCATGAAGCTAAGTGCATCGTCGTTTGAAGATGCCAATCGATCAGCGTCGACATTTCCTGGGCTACAGAGGTTGATGGGGACTAGTGAGCATGTAGCCCAAAGAATACTCGTTCATGTTTTTTAGAGGGATGATTGGAGAGGAAACCGTTTTGACTGGTTGCATGGGAGTTGCAACTGCTTCCTGTTGGGAAAGTATTACACCTCCACTGTCCATGATCTCGATCGCTTTCGACAAGGACCAGCAGCAGCTGACCATTGTGCTCATCACCAGCGAGTGATCCTCAGAGGAAGCTTGGCAGCGCGATGGCTGGACGGTCGGAGAGCATTCAAACAAAAAGCCAAACCCTCATCTGGGAAACTTGTGTGAAAGATGACGTTACATTAAAAGTGAGAATCTCTTTTGGCGAGCTTTTGAAGTTTGAAGCTCAACCACCAGGTCATTTGCTTGATATGGGAGGCCTTGAAGCGGCTCCCAAGTTCTGGGAACTCATCATGGTAGAAGGTGCAGTTTGCCACAGTGAAACCTCTTCTTGGCACATAGATCCTTATGCGTCAGGGGCGAGGCTGGTAAGTAAGACCAACGAATCAAAAGTTGAGGTTGTGGAAAGATGGTGGAAATCTCTAACAGAAGCACCTCGAAAAAAGAAACACCAAGAACCATGGCTCCCATAGGACTTGCAATCCAATTTCATTTCCCAAGACGTACGTCTTAGAAACTCTTCATCGGTTTCACCAGGCTCATAATGGTAGCCCATCAAACGCAATATCTTCAGGCATGAGGGTACATAGTCACGAGCGATGCCCAAAAAAATCATGTGCATCAGGTCAAAAGAAGTGGTCTCTAAAGACCACCCCTTCACTACTGCCCACGGGGAAATTCTCGAAGCAGTTCGAAGGTATTCTGCATGAGACACAGTGGTGGTTCTGTATGGCGCCGTTGGTCGCATGTCTTTGAAGACCATAGGGTGATTTGTATCAGCTGGACACTTTGGCTGGATTGCTGCGCAACGATCACACATCCGCTTACATAGGTAATAGTTTTTGAACAGATGGCATTCCTTGCGGGCTTTCAAATCCGCTTTGAAGGTGAAATAGGCCATCCTTATCACGTGTAGCTTTGGGGCGATCAAAAATTACAGAAGCAAAACTATTCAACTTTGTCAGACACCCACACTAGCACCCCCCCAGAAAAACGCACTGAACATTGAGTGAGCGACCGATATTCCCCTGCCAGCGGTTGCCCTGCCAGAGCTGCCCTGTATGTGCCCTTTTCAAAGGGACGGCCACGAAACCCACTAGTCGGATACTTCCCAGAGGCTGCGCATTCCAAAGACCATGCCACCAGCTCAGCGGTGACCTGGTTGACTCCTTCGCGTACCTGTGAGCGACGGTCAGTTTGAGCAGCGGTCCCTAACATACCCTTCTTTTAGGCTGTTTTTCTGCCCTTCAAAAAATGAACAGAAATTAGGAAACACATGACTTCTAGTCTAGTCCAAGTTCTTTGTCGTCCAGCATGTGGGACTCAGCGATAACCAGAATAGGGAACTTGGTCAGAAGAACATCCTTTATTGCACCAGCAGCCCCGAGCGACGAACTCCAACTCACAGCAAAAAACTCTTGGTCGGAGAAAAACTCACAACCGTCAGCGTGCACAGTAAAGGGGATGGTTTTCTTGAGCTGGTCGTCCGAAAGAGAGTTCACAAGGTCATGGTGTTGGAAGGCAGGCAAAGTCTTAACGTGATGCCAAAACTTCAGGATGGAGTTGGCCGTGTGGTTGCCGCACATGATTGATTGGAACTGGCAGGGTTTGCAACAAAGATAGAGCTATATTTTTAATTGGCCAACTAAAACAGTTCAAAAGTACCTGAAATATGGTCTTGCGTTTCCCTCCAAACTGTGCCTCCGCTTTGGCTCTTTTGTAAAGTGCGCCAAAGACTTCATGGGGTAACAAGACACTGGCCTCCACTGGCACCAGACCTTCATACGCATCAACCTGGGATGAACAAGCCGTTTGGGGAGAGGGACAAGCAAGCTGGAACCTAGGAGCAAAACCATGAAACTATTGAACTCAAAAGATTCAAAGGTTGCTTGTAGATCAAAAGGCCTGCAAAACCAATTCCACAGTGTATGGTTCCAACTCTAGACCATAGCATCCCCTGGTCCACGTCAACATGTCCCTCTCAGCATTGTTGTCCCTTTTCCCAAAGTTTCCACACTTAGCTAGGCAGTGAATACCACTTGTAGGTTTGTGCGGTGCATCCGAGACGACAGCTCTAGCCACTTCAGTGGCAGTAGATACATGAGCTTGCCCACGACCAACGAGCTCCAATAGTTTGTCCACTGTGTCACTTGAACAGCACTCACCAAAAGCCCGTTTGTGCCTCTTCAATGCCGGTTGGCCTGGCCGTGAGCAGTTTCAAACATTCAAAAACTGTGTTTCGGCAATGTGGTGCAATTGACGCCTTGTAGCGTAAATGACTCTGAAACAAAAAACGGTCGTAAATGACTCTGAAAGTTCAACGTTTGTGGTCCAACTAGATATCACATCAAACTAGATATCCAAATAATATTCATACCGTATGCATACCAATCACATCGAACTAGATATCCAAATAGTATTCATACCGTATGCATACCAATCAATCTCACCGCTAGCGATATCCTTTTGAACGCAATCTCAGCATGCGCATCAGTGCATGCGTGTCCCAAAATGCAATCACCTCTTGGTGAGGGATTGGCCCAGCAAACTATCTGGCAGGATCCTTCGCCTTACCTGTGCGCCCACGCTTCGGTCCACGCTTGTGGCTTCCCAGGATGCCATTGGCTGAAGCCTGGAAGGTTTGTTTGAACAAATCTGCATGCAAGATAAACTCTTGCTGTGGTAGTTTCAATGTTCTCAAGCTTTTGAATGAACATATGAAAAATATACATGCGACAAAAATGCTGTTTCTTTGAAAACCTTGCCTCAGCCTTCGCCCACCACTTTGAGTTCTTGTCGACTTCACCGATCACTCCCACGATCTCCCGATCATTCTTCTTGTCACCCTTCTCGACCAAAACGTTGAGCCTCTTCCACAGCGCCTCCATGGTCTGAGCGTGGGTCAAAAGCTGGGTTGAAAGCTCCTTCCCATAGCTCACCCCTGAAAGCTGCAGTGACTTGGCTCTTGCCTTCGTCACTTGGTCCAAGCAAATCGCCAGCTTCGAAGTGGCAATGTCCACAGGAGTCTTTGGGATAACATCTTCCACCTTCGTCTCCTTTGGCTCCTTTTTGCGGGTGTACTTCTGGACAAGCTTTTCTTCATCATCAAGCTTTTGAAGCAATTGTTTGGCCCCATTCTCTGACGCAGTCTTGACTGCAGGAAGGGAGCCAGAAGGAATTGGCCCATCCTCACCGGTCAGAGCAGCCAGCATGTCCTGAGACAAGTTCTTGCTCTTTGCTGCCAGCTCTGTCTTCTCAAAAGTTGAATCGTCTTGCCGACAAAGCCTGCCTTCTGGCATCCAAATCCAATTCTCCTGCAACGCTTCATGGTTCTTCCCCAAAAGTCTTGAAATGTTTCCTGATAAGCCCTGATAAATGTTTATTGATGACCACAAAACACTTCACTAACCAATGTATCAAGCGTTGAAAGAGTTTCCTCGGCAAGAGCTTTGGCTTTAAAGATTTTCAACATTGTTTATCAAACCTGACAAGAATACAGAATCAAATCAGGTTGGTCCTCAGCATCATGTGGCCAATCATCATCAGCATACCACAGGCCATCTTTGTAGCGTTTGGCCAGCAGCTCCTCCACCTTCTCTTTCGAAAAGCGACTGCGAAGTGTCTTGACTTGAACCGCTCCCCACTGTTTGCGGCTCAAATTCTTGGACTCCTGGCCCCGCTTGAACTCAATCTCGACACGCTCAAAGTCTTGACCAGCATCAAGCCACATAGAGAATAACTCTTGTTTTTTTCCTCAACATGGGAGCTAAGCTGCTTGGAAACAGCTTTCGGTTCTTGATTTGGGAGTCAAACTTGTCCCACTGTGGCTTGTGCGTAGTTGAGTTTCTGATTTGTTTTGTCTTTTCTTCTGTCTTTTCTGCCGCCTGACTCAGCACATCACTGGCACCTTCTAAAGCAGCCGGGGTGCCCTTGGACTTCTCATCTTCAGAACGCTCACAGTCTTCATCCTCATCTTCTTCACCTTCACCCTCCCCACTCTCATCCTCTTGGCTCTCCTCTGCGTTCTGGTCTTCTTCATCGTCTCCACTTCCTTCACTATCCTCCTCCTCCTCTGCTTCATCCTTCTTTGATTCACTCTCATCATCGCCGCTAGCTTCAGCTTCAGCTTCCTCCTCCTGTTCTGACCCATCCTCCTCCTCCTCATCATCCTCTTCATGTGCTTCCTCAGGCTCTGACTCTGCAGCCTTGCCCTTCTTCACCTTTGTCTTGTCCTCCTTGCCCTTGTCCTTCTTGAACAGTGAGGGCCTGGCAGCTTTCAAAAGAGCGCCCAAATCTATGTTCTCACCATATTTCTCATTCAGCTCCTCCAAGAAGCCTGAGACCCCTGAAGCGTCATCCTCAGCCCGAGACTTGGCCTCCTGTGCAGCAGCTTCCAACTCCTGAGCTGCTTTGGACCCAGAGCTTAGTTCTGCAGGCGATTTCATCCTGTGCCGCTTGGTTGGCGGTGTGATAGGCGCCTTCTCCTTTTCCTTCTTGGAACTCGCCTCCTTCTCAGCCTTACTTGTCTTGTGCTCTTTCGCCTTGCCAGCAGGAGCCTCGTGAGCCTTTGTAGCCTTTGCAAGCTTGCTCTCCTCTTTGGTGAAATCCTTTGTCTTGCTCTTTTTCGCCTTTGCTTCCAAAGCCCGCTTGATGACTTCCTGTGAAATAGCTGTCCGTTTCTCATTGGTCTTCTTGCCCTTCTCTGACATGAGATGCTTGGTCAGATCCAAGGACACTTTCTTGCCAGCGCTGCCACTGCCAGGCTTTTTCAAAGCTGGCTGTCTGACAGGCTTGGTCGAAGTCGGTTTCTTTGTCTTGGCCATACCCGCACAACAGGCAGCACGACTGAAATTTGATCCAGCCAACTACCCACAAATACAAATCGAAACATCCAAATCGCAACATTGGAATGGCTTTCCCAGTTTTCCCAATCTCACTCACACTTCTTCAATTTGTTTTATTTTCCAAATATAGTGAAAAATAATGTTATTGAATGATCACCTACAGGTCGCATCATCTCGATACAACTCGAAACATTCTCGATACAAATCGCATCATTGCAAAATTGTGGAAATTGCAAAAATAATTGCACACCCCTGCTCCCACGCCTTGCAATTGAGCGCTCCCAAGTCTTTTCAGAATAAGTCGCCCCATAGTTGCCTGGCCAAAGTTTTGCTGCAACTGTAATCCCACCCTAAAATTTAGATCAGAACCCTTGGAACCTACCATCAGGTCTATAGACCCCAAAAGCAGAGCCCTGTCCAACCCCTACTGTCATTGTTTACTGTCTTTTCTGGTCCTTTGTTGAGGGAACCCCCTTGGATATCCTTGGATGTTTTTGTTTTGCCGCGCTGAGCTCGAAGTGGTTCGTGCTACCCCAGGTGTCATGCAGTCATCACTACACAATACCTTAATTTGCGCAAAGTTATTGCAGTGCAGTGCAGACTTAGCGCTGCTTTGCCAAAAAAGAAAGGATGGGCCCTAGGTTTGCATGGTCCATCCACAACTTGTTCTTATGTTTCAAATCGAATTTGCCTTGAGCTCTCAGGGCCCTCCGGTGAAACTCGTTTGCCCTCCTGCGAATAGTCTGCAGGTGCCGTGTGCGAAGTCTTGCGTAAGCCCTGCCAAACCTGAGGGTGTTCAAGGGTAGATGTGAAAAAAGGACTTGAAACAATTCAACCCTATTTTTCTCTTGGGATGCCTTGTTGGCTCAGAGCGACCTTGGGTAAGAAGAAAACAAAACTTGTTTGAGCTATTGGAGAAAGACGAGCGCGGGTATGATTGGGAGGCAGTCATGTCAGCCCCCCCCCTTCACCCTCTTCTTCCCTGTCGAGTCAACATAGTGCACAACCATCTCAGTGGATTTGGGCGGCACCAAGCTCCTGTCAGCGTGGTTGTTGATGTCCTGCATTTCTCGTTCACCTCATCAAGAAGCAGAATATGAATTCGTTCATTGTAAGACGCAATAAGAGTTCCAAGAAAGGTTTAGGGGACACAAGATTTCTTGAGCCAACTGTCGCACAAAAAATTAACCTATTTTGTGTTCTCTTAACCTTTCTTGGGATTAGTGCACATGCGCGCGCATTACCAGAGAAAAGTAAGATTCTGATCAAGTGAGCTGGGGGACTGGAGTAAATCCACAAAGGCTTCTTAGAGTCACTGCCGAACCAGCCCAGGCTGGTAGAAACACGCACGACAGCAAGCTCCCTGAACCTCAACAGCTCTTGAAAAAGCACGTGGCCCTCCAGTAGAGAATTGCATGGTTGTTCAAGTGACCACCAGCACCGTTTGGCATACGCAAGAAGCATTAGCACCATCAGACGCCCAACCATCAAGTTTCCAGCTCTCACTGACGCAGCTGAGGAATCACCCATTGGTGAATCAGCACTTCGCTTTGTCGAGCCACGGCTCCTTAAGGGCGGGGTTGTCGGAGGACTCATACCCTGGAAGGTTTAAACCTCAGCACCCCAAAACAAGAGTATTGGTCTGAGATGAGGCTCATAAAGATCCATGAGGAGCACTGCGGTGCTGCCCATAAGCCTCCTCCAGGTCGTAGGTTGGCGACTTGATACAACATATTGCTGAA